CTGACTCAGATTAAAAAAAACACTGTTGCCTTGAAGAAACCCACATTATAATCGGATGGAAAGACATGCTGGAAAATTATCGCTGTACGCATTATGAACGACGAATCAAAGCGTTTGGTTCGAATGCCTGGTACATACTACACACTACTAGGTAGTACTATTATTTATTCTGTGACACTACACAAGTACACATACTACTTTGCGCATATACACTACTCATTCATAGCGTCTTCTATGCAGTTGATAATAATTACCGATTTTTGGAATCTGTCGCCAGCATCGGAAATAAAAAGATGTACATAATATCTGCTATCTCAACCCATATCGATTTAGTTCATTAATAAGTAAAAAAGAAAAAAACAAAATAATAAAATAATAACCTAGCATAATGGACGCCTTTATTGCTAATGAAAATAATAAACCACTGCGGTTGTTAACCGCTTGCTTAGTGTGGCAATTATGGCACAATCCCTCCTATAAGGAAATCTGTAGGAGAGGTTTAGCAGTGGAGTTTTGATACACTGTAATGAAGATTAATAATAATAAGTTTTGAAATAAACATTATATCTTTTTTTTTATAGGATAGGGTGACAAACGAGCACACAGTCCACCTGATGGTAAGTGGTTGCTGTGGCTCATAGACATCTACATTTATCCTCATTTGCGAATCAAAATGCAGATGCGTTGTCACCCGTGAGGACTAAGATGGAATGCCTCTTTTCCAGTAAAAAGGATCTAAAATTTTTGCCACTTTGTTGCATGTCACCAGTCAATAAATATGCTATGTAAATATTAAATGTATGCAACTGAGTGAAGGATTGAATCTGAATAGGCTGGTTTACTTATATTAGCTGGAATTACCACGTGCTCGGCGGTGAAGGAAAAACATCGTGATGAAATCTGCATGTCTGAGGAATAAGAAAAAAATATTTAGAAGACATGTGAAGTTCGCCAACACGCATTGGGGCAGCGCGGCGGACACGTCCTTGCCTTAATAAAAAACCCTCTCAGAATTGAGGGGAGGCTTGTGCTCAGCAGTGAGACGTATTTAAGCTGTAACTTTACTCAAATTTATGTTGGCTTACTAGTGTGTGATGCGTGTGCAGTGATTGGATCCTATTCATACGATAATAGAAATCTAAAAATAATTGTGGAAAAATTTAGAATTATTTTATTCCAATAATTATAACTTTTAACAAAAAGTAAAAACCGACTTCAAATTGCTAAAAATGAAGTTATTTGCTACCCTTTGGGATGGAGTTTTTTCTCCAAATTTGAAGATTTTTTTGAAGAATCATCAAAATTGGTTCACAATCTGATGAAAATATCACGTAACATACATAATATACAAAAAATATACACTATAATTGAGAACTTCCTCCGTTTGGAAGCCGTCTAAAAACATTTTTAGTAAATTGTTGTGACCGGGCTCACTAACCCTTACCGTTATATATTATAGCCTAGGTATCAAAAGTCCGCTGCTGAACATAGCCCTCACATGTATTTCCTTATAAGGGATATATTTGCCATAGTTGCCACGTTTCGCATCGCATTTCGCGTTTTATTTTTAATTTGTTTTATGGAAGACGATGCTATCCAACTCCTTTCTCCTCTCTGTTGCCTCTTATGACACCCATGAGAAGATCTGGGGTAGTGAATATTTTTACACCGCTACTTCACAGTTGGTTATTATATCTGTATTCTTATAAGATTAGGTCGGGTAAAAGATTCTTCATATTTTGTTTTTACAAAATTTAAGAAAAGTTTCTGGTTGTACTGTTTGTATCTGTCTGGTTTTAATATCAATACATATAGGACATTAGGAAAAAGAAAAAGTGATAAGAACACTTTACCGCCAATTTTCAATTGTTTTTTTGTCTGCCAAAATGAGTGAATCTAACGAAGAAATTTGATACTTTCAGAAGTTTTCTTACAGAAATGTAAAAAACGCTACTCAAGCCGCGAAAAAAATTTGTGACGTTATATTATTAAGAATTTTTATTCCGCTGAGATATTAGAAGAAAACTGGGCCAAGTTATTTTTAGAAATCCATTTAAAACTTGTCAACGTTGGTAAATTAATTATTCAAAGTATCGGGTTGGTTATAAAAAAGAAACGATGTTCTTTCTAGTGTTATATTAAAACATTGCATTTACAAAATCTTTTGTATCGCTAAAATACGTCATGTGTTTGCTCCTGAACTAATAATTTCTAAGTACGGGTTTTTATCATGTCTAACAGGTTTCGGCCTATCAAAAACCTTCTCGGAAATGATCAAGGACAAGGACCTTCCTTTGTAGGCCTTCTCCACCCAGGCCACGACTGGGTAACTTCCGATTAATCGATTGTATTTAAATAAAATAAAATAAAATAAAATAAAAAAATATTTTTCTTCACAAAACTTAAATTAATTAGATAGTTTGATATTTGCAGTGACTTAAAATAATAATTCAGAGTATTGAAGATTTAAATAAAAATGATAATTCTAATGTAGTTATTTTTGAAATTGTGTTGATTTAGAAAAGAAAGGCCATGCCTAGTAGAGCATAGATATATAATATATCGTATAAGATGAATGTGTATAGAAGTGTATTTTTTTAAAAGGTCCCAATTTTATGATAAGAAGATATCTATCATATTAAATAAGTATCATATAAATATACTAGCTGGCCACAGACTTTGTTCTGCCCTTTACGGGAACCCTTTGTCCTTTAAAAAAATCTTTAAATTCGCAATAAAAAATATTAAGGGCCACTATCGGGATAAAAACTATCCTACCCCCAAGTTGGAGCAAGCAATACACATTAACAAAATTTCATTAAAACCGGTTGAGTGGTTTCGGAGTTCATCGCGGACAAACAGTGTGACACGTTATTTTTATGTATATAGATATCATAAACAAATAAGTGTATGTTTTATATAATTCCCCTAAATTATAGAAATAGATAGGGAAGCATGTAGTGATACTTTTGTTTGGGTTAGGAAAAGGTTCAAAGAAAGATACTCCTCACATGGGTGAATGGACAAGCCGTTAGGATGCATAGGTACTTTCAGCCAGAACCAATGATATTAAAATTTAAGTCGATTTTTTTAAATAATCATTCAAACTACAGGTCGCCCTGTTATCGATATTCGACCGTAATTCATTCATTTTTTTTGCCTCGACATACACTCCACAAACTATTGATAAAAAACGTTTGAAATCACACAAAACAATTGGTCAGTAATTATTTGTTGGCAAAATAAACTCGACGACGGATTGACTACGGATGTGTTTGATATTGACAATTTGGCATTTGGTAAATAATGAATCTTTTATTTAATTTAATGTATTTGTAGCACATATTATTCATACATTTCAGCTCTATGCACTCTTACCTACTACATAAAAACTTTAAATATGCCAAATCTCAACGTTTTCTCATCACGTATTAGATACTCTATCCTTACAATTAATTAATTTATTCTATCATTAGAGATTATCCTATATTAAATCCAGAGTCTACTTATTGACTGATTTTATCCACTTATTAAGTTACTATGATTACCTCACTGAGATAGAAGTCAAAAGATATAAGTAGGTATGAGAAAAAATGTAGTACAGACAAATGCTACTTTGCATAAAGCAGTTAGATGTAGGTACCATCTGCAAATCCGTTATTGTAGCATTTTACTAAAATATCTAAGAGAATGTGTTTCATTATTTTATGTTGACACAGCTGAATTATAATCAAATAACAGTACGAACTAATACAATTCAAAATAAACCTTAACCGGTTGTCTTAAAACTGTTTTTACGCATGCTTAGGCTATTTATTTTCGTCTATGAAGGTGCATTGTTTCCATCGGTTCATTGACCTTAAGCGTGACAAACCGCTGTTGGAAACATACCTACCATGTCAAGGCCGAAATCATGGGAACTAATTATTGTTTTAATTGTTTTTTTTTGTTAATTTTGCATTAGTGGTGGTCAGCTGTATGATGGTTATATTACAGAGCTGTTGTCTTTGAATTCAGCGACCTAAATAGCATAGAAAATATTAAGGTGTCCGCTTTTTTGGTAGTTACTAGACAATCTTGCTATCTATCGGAATAAAATAAGCATAACTTAAGCACTTCTGTTCATGTCGTGCCCGGTTTAAATTCCGGATCGGACCAAAGATCAGTGATAGGGTTTTTCTGTCAATATTTTTTGTATTGTTATTTCCACTCCAGTATTTTCTCCTATATTTTGTAGGCAGTTCACTTATATAAATTGCACAAGGACTCTCATCAACACCCGGAACATTATTTTGTAGGTCATCATATAAATACTTGTTCTTTGCGGTCTACCAGGTCCCATTATGAATTTAAACCTGCCAGCGATCTACTCAAACTCACGCAAAATATTTTATCAAAATCGGTTCAGCCGTTTAAGAGTTCAGTGAAAATCACACGTACAGAAGAATTATATGTATAAAGATAATTATAAATAGTTAGCGAGGAAGACGTGGCGCGATGAATTTTGTCTGAATTCACTCCGGACTATTTAGTGTAAATATAAAATTAATTAATAACTCGACCGCAGCGCCATCTATCGAGTTCAGATTTTGTAATGTATTTGGCATCAAAACCACCTTATTATATGACAATTTTTTTAATAACTTGATTAGCGCCACCTATTGGATTCATGAACAACCATCGCATCGCCTCGAAAAAAATGAATACATAGTGTGAGCATGACCTCAATCGGTCAAGTCGTTCGAAAATTATAAAGATAATCAGCTATCACTATAATAAAATATTAGTCATAACAGTTGTATCCAAATAAGACCAACATTTTGTAGGTAGTATTGAATGGATGATAGTATACATATAGAAAATTTTAGACTGCTGTTCGTAAGCAGTCGTGGCCGAGCGGTTAAGGCGTCTGACTAGAAATCAGATTCCCTCTGGGAGCGTAGGTTCGAATCCTACCGACTGCGAATATACTTTTTGTTAATGTTTTTTTTTTGTTTCAGTTTACGGAGGGGCGCCGGTGTCAACGTTCAAGATGACAATGGATATACCCCACTTCATCACGCATGCTTACGTGGGCATAAGTAAGTTGCGAACAATTTGTTGGTTTCTTTTTTGATTATAATTTATCATTATTTAAAAACACATACAGGGGCAGGCAGAGACTACATTCTTCCGTTTGGCACAATCCTAACACATATTTCTCGCTTAATGATTTCTTATATTTACGCGAATACTACACATTGAATAAAATTATTTTTGCGGATTTTATCGCGTTTAATTTACTTATTTTTAATACCCGATGTTTCGGAACTGAGGTTTGTGAGTTCTCCCGTGACCATAGGTTCTGTAAAGCACCCGAAACGTCGGAAATTAAAAATAAGTGAATTATACGTGATATAATTATAATTTTTTTACAAAAAGTAAAAACTGACGTTAAATTGCTAAAAAAGCTATTTATTCGCAACCCTTAGGGGTGGAATTTAGTATCCAAATTTATATGGGACCACCCTTGAAAAATAAGAATCATAAAAATTGGTTTATAATCTGCGAAAATATCGAATAACATACATACAAAACAACGTACAATCTAATTGAGAACCTCCTCCTTTTGAAGTCGTTTAAAATCCGTAGAAATGGTTTTATGTCATCTTTCTCGCTTCCTTCACGTTCATATATCTACACATACGAGTACATGCCCGTCTGTTAAGGGTACTACTTTTAATTTGGTCCATATATTGAAGATATATCGCTAACTTGGTCGATAAACATCCATCTATGTTGTCCCTTCCCGATTTTTCCACTCACTTTTTGCAAATTATAATTGCATTCATTAATTACAGCCTATGAAAGTACTGTTGAACATAGGTTGCTTTATAAGGAAGGTATTTCCCAAAGTTGCCACGCTTGGCAGGCGGGTGGCCGTTTGGCAACCACAGTTTTTAACCCCCGACGTAAACAGAGGACCAGAGGAGTGTTATATGTTTCTAGTGTGTGTCTGTCTGTAGCATCATAGCTCCTGAACGGATGAACCGATTTTGATAAAGTTTTTTTCGTTTGAAAGGTGTCTTAATCGAGACTATTCTTAGCTATATTTCAAGAAAATCTGTTCAGCCGTTTGAAGATCATCAGCTGTTTGTTTAGGGGGTTTTTAATTTTTTAAATTTAAGTTATATGTAATATGTGGTTATTAGGAAGACGCTGCTGCCCATTTCTTGGTTTCTTACACTCTATCGCTGCTTAAGACTTTATAATTAGACTTTGGGAAATTTGTAAAAGCCATTATTAAACATTTAAATTTAAATAATATTTTTTTAGTTCTTTAGTAGACAAATTTTTGGACGGAATAACTTAGACTTGTTCATTATGCAATTTGGTAGTTACAGATACTAACGTTCATAAATTATTACGTTAGGTATACAATTTGAATTTTCTTCGTTGAACAGTGTCTTACATCTTGTCAGTAATAAAAAATATATAAATATGATGTTTATTTGACTACAAGAATCTAGTCATTAACTAGTAATCCTATACAATTTCTATGGAAAGTTTTGTTTTGACAGCTCCTAAAAAGTACGAGTGATATTAAACCTATCTTTGTTGCTTGCTCCCATAAAGTAGATATCATATTTTTGTAATTTTGTAAAGCGTTCATGCGTCCGACTGTTTTTTTTATTTTGATTTCAATACTTGATCTTGATGTGAGCAAATATCACATGTAATTAATAAAAACCTACCGATTGGTACAAGTTTAATGTACGAGTAAGTAGCTCAAGGTAACACAGCAAATTTTATTAGCATTAAGAGGTGACTCATACCGACATTTATTTTGTCTGTGACGATTTTCGATTTCCGTATATAAGTATAGTGAACTAAATTTTGAAACATATAATATGTAAAACATATATGTAAACATATATGTTTGAAACATATATAAATAGCTATGTACTAAAGTAAGTTTTCCTCTATCGACACTAGGGATGATACGGGGTATTTGATTCTCTTGTCCCCCCACTACACGGCGATAAGCGTTACATAGTACTTACCGACGTAGTACCTAGGGTTTATATAATTATACTTTTCTAAGCTACAGAAATAAAGTACGAGAAGCGAAAATTAAGTATTATTTATTTGACATGCTATTTTGTGCAACAATATCTTTACATTCTATGTCTAAGTTAGGATAATACAGTTCCTTTCATCCCGTCACCTAGCATTCATCAAAGAATTAACTTTGTAAATATCGCTTAAGTGATGGAAATGGATAGCATTCATTTTTAAATGACTTCAAGTAAAGAAAGAGGAGGTACTCAATTCGACTGTATTTTTTGTGTGTTACCTCAGAACTGTTTTCTAGATGAACCGATTTCGATGATTCTTTTTTATTTGAAAGCTGGTGGTTTTCATGTGCCTCATGATATCATGAACCATGGCCAGTAATTTTTAAGTTATCCTTAATAATGCGTATTGAATTGACTTCAACTACATTGATGATGTTCTCATTTTATTTATATTGAAGTCGGTTGCACAAAATTTTTAATTTTACCACTTATTATTGTATAATTTGTTTCATTCATTTATTTATTACTGCTAGTAAATATTTGTTAATCTGTGGTAATACACGCAACAAGACAGCAGGATCCTTCTAACTTACATTTGATATCAGATAACATTAAAGTTTTAATTAAATGGAAAATAAAATCATTTTATATGGTTTGCGTGGTATGATATAAAATGTGTTATGAAATAATTTTATATGTATTAGTACAAAATGTAAATTATTGATTGTTTACTTATAGAGAGATAGTCCGCCTGCTGCTATCTGTGGACGCCCTGCCATGTGTCGTGGACAAAAAGGGCGCAACGCCGCTTCACCTGGCGGCGTGGAAGGGAGACTCTGACATCGTCTCCATGCTCCTGGCACATAACAACCCTTCAGTCAACATTGATCAATGGGTACGTTGAAAAATATAACGCAGGCATGAAAAAGAAAGTGTTAAACTTAGTTCTTTTTTAATTTTTATTGGTGAGAAATATAAATTTGGTATTGTCCTTGCTTTTATTTTAGTAATCCATTTCTCATTGCTCATGGAACATGGCCATTATTTAATTTGAGATAAGACTGCAACTATACAAATGATTAAAATGTACGATGAGCAATGTGTGCAATGTGCACTCGATAAATAAAAAAATCATTATGATTTGCTTGAGTATAAAATTGCCGCATAAAAATTTACAGGCGCTTTGTCTGAAATGAAGTTAAGTCAAAGGCTCAGAAGTATTTACATTATTATCTTTAACTCTAATCCGGTGGTAACCAGATTTGTAACTTTGTATATTGAACATAGTTCTTTTAGACATCAGTATTACACTAGCACTGCAGTCCAGTGCTGAACGTAAGCATCCCTTATAGATTGCCATAATGCACGGTCCTGAGCTATCTGCATACATCGACTACCTTCGTGTTTTATCTGGTTAATTGAAAAACATATAATAGTTAGTAATTAAGGAGTATATATCATATCTCATTAATTAAAAAAAACCAGCCAAGTGCGCGCCGGACTCGCGCACCGAGGGTTCCGAACAAATCTGTAGGTATATAAGTTTAAAATTATTAAAAATATTTTTATTATATGATGTAACTAAAAATTTATGCTTTTTATAAAACGTTGTTTCGTACCAAATTTCCAGATTCTGAGTTCACGGGAAGTACCCTGTAGGTTTGATTCCCTTGCAAATGTCGAAAATTTGCGCCATAAACGGCTGTGTAACTTTTGATTGCGTTAGCTTAGAAGTTTGATTTTTTCACAGCTCCAAGGGACAGTAGACTTGAGTATTTGATATAAATTTCAGCTTGATATCTCCACGCGTTACTGAGGAAAAGGGTCTTGACAGACAGACAGCCAGACGGACAACAAAGTGATCCTATAAGGGTTCCGTTTTTTCCTTTTAAGGTACGGAAGCCAAAAAATGTATCAGTTATCATGCTGGTATTTGTTTCTCCATACAGACGTCAGATCAGGAGACAGCGTTGCTCATAGCCGCCCAATTCGGTTACGTGGACGTAGTTGCGCAACTGCTCGCAAGAGGAGCTGATGCAGAACTGAGGAACATGAAGGACGAAAGCGCATTGGACCTCGCAGCGCAATACGGGCGGTAAGTTCAGACCGTACATAGTCGAAGAAAATGGAGTCGAAGTTAGCTGGCAGTGGTCTATCCTAGAGTCAGTCATGATGTTATCCAAGCCAGGCCTATCGCCTTGTTTGCTGCTGCTGACAATTTGAATCCAGACAATTGACCTATTATAGAAAATCAAAACACAATCAAATGAATTATGAGGTATCTACTAGTCTTCCCGAATATGTAACTTTTATTTGTCATAACTTTTAAACGATAATATTCTTTAAAATTCTAATAAGTAGGGCATTTTTAAGGCGAATTAAACTTTTTCAAAGTCACGAAAATGCTGCTGAAGATGGTTTTGCTGTTTTTTTTTATCATTCTTAATTGAGTGAGAGTAACATTAAGAAAATATAACAAGTGAAGGCTTATCTTTGGAAATAAATTTGTTACCTTACTAACAAACTTTAAGTTTATTACGGAAAACCGTTTGTAGCTCATCACTTGGGAACCTTTAAGTAACTTTAGCGAGCGTCTTAGCACCCGAGCTGGTAGTTACGCCGCAAGCTGGCAAGTTAACGTTACTTATTCTAACTATGCTTACTGCTTCCTAGTCTTGCTCGCCGGAGTAACTTACGTCCAAGTTAAGCTTGTGTGACGGTTTTGTGGTCACGGGAACTTTGTCAAAGTAATATTAGAATTTATAAGTTTGAACCGTGTAGATGTATTTAATTAAAATATATTGTATTTTATAAATAATAAATTACTTAAAATTAAAAGTAAAAGCAGACTTATAAAGAACTAAAAATAATATAATAATTTCTTCATAATAGCTTCAGAAGTCAGTGTTGAGAATAGTGTATAGAAAAATTAAAGTCCCGACTTCAGCAACTATTATGTGGAATTTTTTTGATTATTTTTAGTTCTTCGAAGTTCTTTCGTTTTAATTTTTTGTACGGAACACTATTTTTTTTCCAAAATAAAAGTAGCTTAACTAACAAAAAAAATGAAATAAATTCCTAAGGACCTAACAATAATTAAGAATTTACCTGTTCACTTTAGTATCGCATGCTGAGGAGATGACATAGAAAAACGTTATACCTTGTTGTCCTTTAGTTTTCAGTCACGTTAAAAATGATCGTACGACCGTACGCAACCAACGTCAGCGTAGGAGGAATTCAGGCCTAAGGTTACTCAACAGCAACAGAGAAATGAACTAGCAGTAGACTAATTGCAGTGTAATACCGATAATGTCATCTAAACCTTGTTTCTAAAACCTGTTACGTTTTTGACCAGGTTAGAGACAGTTCAGCATATGCTTCGAGTGAGGCCATTACTTGTTCAACCCTACAAGTACCCAAACTGCAGGGATAAGATATTTTCTTCTTCCACGCCTTTGCATCGTGCCAGTAAGAATGGACATAAGTAAGTGTTTAAAGTCAAAACTTATTCATTTTTGTGATTAAGGTGCATTATATAAAAATAAACCGCTTCACCGATTTTGATGAAATTTTTATGGGTTAGTTATGGGGTAACCTGGATGGTTTTTAGCTATAGTTGGATCCGGTTGGTGGCGCTGTTGACGAGATCCAGAAATCTTTTTTTTAAATGGTATTTTACAAATTTGTTAATGTCAAATGTATATTTCTTTAAATGTCAATTTTAAGAATATAATAGTAACCATAATATAAGTAAAATAAGTGGAGAGTTATTTTAGTAGTTGCCGTGTAGTGGCGGTTTAAGAATTATAGTAGGCCTTTTTACAGAATTTCCTTTTTTTAAATTTAAAATTTAGTCTGATTGCTACACTATACTTCCAAAAAAATCTAATTAAAAAATATGTATGACTAACTCCGAAAAGATTTTCTAGTATAAACCAATCTCTAACGTTTCTCCTCGACTACAGGACTCAGCTTCGTGGTTTTATTCAACGAGTTTCTATTTTCCGTACGTAGGTACATTACATTTTATTTTAAAATAACAGCAACTGAAGTGTCAAAATATATCGCATATTTAGCGACTCGCGGGGCTCTTTTTTACATACAGACTGTCCTAGTTATAGATTGTCGATTTCGATTATTATTTCTTTATCACTTTCTCATCTCTAGGTAACACTTACAAAACAAAAAATTATTTGTTTTACTGTTTACAGTGCATTACATGACAAAAATTATAATTTTCTTATCAGATATAATTTTTAACATAATAAGAGTAATTAGACCGACTCAGGTAAGCTAACTTCAGTACGTACATTACGTGCAGTCAGGTATTAGTCGATCCGTACATTTAATCGATTAGATTTAGTGACTAGCCTGACTGACTCGGTCCTATTACTCCTATTATTTAGACATTTATAGTTGATAAGAAAATTATACTTTTTGTCTTGTAACACGCCCCTTTTTATTTTTGACATGAAGTTTTACATGTTGTAAATGTTTTAATATAAGTATTGTATAGTGGGACAATTTCCCTTCGTCTATTAATTTATGGTGTTTACACACGCGGCAATCATGGCGTATTCGTATTCATTCGTTCGTTATAACGCTTCAATCGCTTTGTCTGCGAATTATAGCATCTTATTACAACCAACATGTAAAGTTATGTTTGTTTTGGATGTGAAGGGAGACTTGGTAACTTGAACTTTGACGTATTATGAAAATTGCATGTTACGTTTTATAACATTTATCCTTATAATCTTAGAAACCGCATGGTATAGTGAATAAATAGGCGTAATTCTCTAATTAGTTGCACAGTGTCAATATTCGATTAATTCACCCAATCAATGTTAACAAGTATATTTGTAATCTTATTCATCCCCTGACCACGCTTTGTTTTGAATAAAAGAGGGAAACGATGATTGTGAGCAGCTTTTGTAGTTGAAATATTTGTTTAAAGTACCTAAATAATTTAAATCGAAATTTAAATTGATTACATTTTAATTTTCAACATAATAAATTATTTATGTTCAATGTTCACTTGTGTACTTATTGCTTACGTACCATAATAGATGGCGCGTTAAATTTAGGCAATACAAACTATTTCAAATATTTAGTGATTTTCTTTCAAAGGTCTTCAATATTTTTTACGTTTATTTTTTATTTTTAGTGAATTTTTTGCAAACTGAATTTCTTTTACGGCGGCCAGTCTCGACGAAGAGTAGACATCTGCGCAGGGCAGAATTGTAGAGCACCCAGTGCATGAGTAAGGACATGTGCACTCTCTATTCCCTCTCTGTTATAGTTCAATGGGACGCCAATCCGACTTGACCGGAGAACTAAGGGCATTACTTAGTTTCATAGGCACGGAGGTGAAACGCCTCTATTTCCATCATTTCGGGTTGAGAATTTATTGGTGGAAAAACTCGATCACTGATTTTGACCCGATCTGGGTTTCTAACCGGACCACATGGTGACCAGTTGCACTTACGATCTCCAGACCAACGACACAGTCACATATTATACTAAAATAGCCATAAGTGAATGTGAAAGTTCTATTATTTTAATAGATGTGGTTTTTGTTCTTTGATCATATTTTGATAGTCCATCCTTGATTAAAATATAAAATATTTTTCCTACACGTTTCGAATTTTCGCACATATTTCGTTAGTGATCGACGGGAGCCAACCACTGACTTGTGATATGAATTTGATTCGTTAGTTCCGAGTGTTCATGAATATGCATCACTGGATTGGTTTATGAACGTAATCCAATCAAATATGTACAAGAGAGTGTTGATGTTCTGTATTTTTATTTATATTTTTTTCTTTTATACTTTAAATGTTGTTGGAAGTCGTCGATGTTTGAACGAATGAACATAAATATTATGTACACTACCTACTTACTGAAGTAAATTTGGTTATTAAGGGCTCTATTTATACAAATATATTCCATATTATTATAGTCACTTTGAGAAGTAAATGTTTAGGCGCTTTTGTTCACAAGTCCCTATTTAGAAATAATGCCAACAATCTAACATTTTTTTAGTTTCATTATTATTTTATGAGTGCTTATAATTGCAATTTATTTTAACCCTACAAACTAATTAAATTAAGTAAATTAAACTAATATACAGGCATTTTAAAGAACTACTTTCTTTCAAAATTTTACATTTTGTTCCTTTCCTCCGTCGATCACTAATAAAAACTAGTTACACAATCCCATGCAAGTTTTCTAAAAACTGTCGCCAATTGTTTTGACGTAATTCTAGTATATAAATATACATCAATGTAAATTCAACCTTAACAAATTAAAAGCTCACCCAAATGTTCGAGTGGGCGCTCATTCTTTAAGGACATTTTTCTCACTGTTTGTGTATCTAGTTTTTTATTAATGATCGACGTTTCCTACACATATTATTTCGACTACTGTAATTTATATCTCATCAAGGACTGATTTTTTAATTTCTCAGAGAAAATTTTATTCATAGGATTAAATACAACATTAACAAACTAAATAATTACAGTTGCATTAATAAAATGGTTCAATTGTTCCACTTATATATTCTTTCTGATCTGACGATTAAACAATCAGCCCTAAGCAATGTTGGAACTATTATGAACCTTACTAATAAAACAAAAATCGTAATGCTGCTTAATATATTAATTTTAATATGAAATTGGTAATCGCGGGTTTTAATACTTTGCGGCATTAGTTTATTTTATGTTTTATTTTATTTAGGTATGTAATCAAACAGCGTTTTTGTCATATTATTTACAATACATAATGTATTACAGTAAGGCCAATAGAGATTACTCAAGTATTTTAACAATTAATTATTAAGCGTGCGTGTGTGCTTGCGTAAGTGTGTGTGCGCGCGCGCGTGTTAATATGCTGACCTTGAACTGTCCTCCGTAGGGACGTAGTATCAGCACTCCTAGCCGCCGGGTTCGATCCCAATGTCCGATCTTACTCAGGCACGCCGTTACACGAGGCAGCTTGCTTCGGCAAAGCTTCGGTGGTCCGCATTTTGTTGGCAAAGGGGGCCGACCTTCATGCCGTTGACAGCAGGGGGAGGACGGTGGAGGCTCTTTTGGGCGAGTACTCCGGGGAGGCTATTAAAAGAGTCAGAAGGGTAATACGAGGTAAGTGCATATTCTACACCAGTCCTTTTAACTTCCTCAACTACTAAGAATGTGCCACGATACTCACGATGCTGGACAGGCTGGTTGGCGAACCCAGAGCCTGTATCCTGACACTAGTAGTAAGGCTGCTTTTCATCTCCAGTTTGTCAGTTTAAGATTTTTATTATATTAGTCGGATTTAATTAAATTAACAATACGTCCTCTTTACCATGTTACTAATTTTGATTATAATGTGAAAATACTAGATCGAATACGAATCCTTACAACTGACGCTTGTTTTTCTTTAACAGAGTATGAGAGTATGGTAGGAAACTACCACGAAAGTGAAGAAGAACTTCCACCTTTCCCGGTGCAAGGATATAGTCCCACTGGCTTCCCCAATTCCGTCGTCATGTAAGTTTCACTGTTTTAAGAAAGTTTTTTTTTAATACCTAGTTAAAAACCATAATAGCTACAATTGGGCCATCTTATTTATGAAAAATAAATTTAACTAAAATTTATATTTTACCTACATAATTCGTGTTTTATGCCGTTATTTAAGCAAATATTATGTTTTTATATTTACCCACCCCCCATGACTGAAGTTACGAAGTGACGCCCCCAGTCCCTGGCAATTCCTGGCAACGATGGCGACCATGGCAACTCCACCTGGCTACATATAACGCACGCACCTTGAGGACTGACAAGAAGATTCTGGAGCCGAAAGAAGAGATAGACAAGTTGCGCTGGAATATTATAGGATTATCTGAGGTCCGAAGATAGGGAGAGGACATGGTAATCCTCGAATCCGGCAACTTGTTCTATCATCGGGAGGGCGACCATCTATCCCAAGGAGGTGTCGGATTTATCGTTCACAAGTCTCGTTAACAGCGTTGTAAAGAATGAGAGTGTGTTGACGAGGGTTGTGTACGTTATACTCAGAATCACCAAACGGTATTCGCTGAAGGTCATACAGGTTTACGCACCAACCTCGGCACATCCTATGAGGAGGTGGAGGAAATGTATGATGATATATCTAGAGCCATGCATTCTTCTAAAACCTACTATACGATGTTGATGGGAGACTTCAACGCAAAACTAGGCACAAGACAGAACGGTGAGCTGAAGGTAGGGAAAGTTAGAATAGGGCAACGGAACCCAAGGGGCCAGCAGCTGGCTGACTTCGTGGAGAAAGGGGGACTCTTTATGATGAACTCTTTCTTCCAGAAGCGGCTCCACAGGAAGTGGACCTGGTCGAGTCCTCGACGGTTCGACAAAATATGACATTGACTTCATTATGACGACTAGACGGCAACTGTTCAGTGATGTGTCAGTGATCGCGAGGGTTAAACCGGCAGCGATCACCGAATGGTGAAAGGCACACTGAACCTAAACGTTAAGTTGGAGAGGTCACGTTTAATGAAGTCAACGCTCCGTCCCCCTCCTGCTCTAATCTAAAGTCCCGAAACCTTTCAGCTCGAGCTGCACAACCGTTTTCAGTGCCTAGAAGATTGCAATGCAGTGGACGATAACAATGTCAAGCTCGTGGAAACTGTCCATGCGGTCGGAGCTAAGTTCTGCAAAACCCGCCCCAGAAGAACACAAAAACTCTCCGATCACACTCTTAATGTCATGGCTGTTAGACGGGAAATGAAGCTGCAGTCTTCAGTAGATTTGACAGCATACAGGCAACTGAACAGACAGATCTCCAAATGCATGCTGCGGGACTTACGCAACTTTAATACTGCTCGTATTGAAGAAGCGATCGAGCGGAACCAGGGTTCCAAAATCTTTGCTAGAGATCTGTCTGCCAGAAAGAGCCAACTATGGAAGCTGTAGACCGAGTGTGACAGCGTCGTTTCCAGGACACCTGATATTTTGAGTGAGATTAAGAGGTTCTATGGGCAGCTGTACACATCATCGTTGGAGCCACACGAAAGTGTGAGTAACGATCAAAGAGCAAATCTTATCCGACACTATTCCGATGATATTCCGGACGTCAGTATGAGCGAAATTAGAATGGCTCTCCAGCACCTTAAAAACGGCAAGACCCCAGGCGAGGATGGAATTACAGCGGATCTTCTGAAAGCGGGTAGAAGACCGGTACTTGAAGTCCTTCAGAAGCTCTTTAATTCCTTCCTCCATGGTGGCACTACACTGGAGGCGTGGATCAGAAGTGCCGTGGTCTTGTTCTTCAAGAAAGGCGACAATGCTTTCTTGAAGAACTACTGACCGATTTACTTTCTGATCCGCATCTACGTGTTGTTTTCGAGAGTCATTACGAACCGTCTCGCATTCGGACTCGATGACTTCCAGCTCCCGAGCAAGCCGGTTTCCGAAAAGACTAGCACCATAGACCACATACATACCCTTCAGCAAATTGTACAGAAGTCCGAGGAGTACAATTTGCCACTATGTCTGGCGTATGTGAACTTTGAGAAATCCTTTGATTCCGTCGAAATTTGGGCGGTGCTGCAGTCCCTTCAGCGGTGCCAAGTGGACTGTCGGTATATCCAAGTGCTGAAATATTTGTACGAAGCCTATCCAACTACAGAGAGGTGTAAGACAGATTGACGTTATATCCCCGAAACTCTTCACCGCTGCATTTGAAGACGTTTTCAAGCTTCTGGATTGGAAAGGATACGGTATTAAAATCAACGGCGAGTACATCACATACCTTCGATTTGCCGACGATATACTCCTTATGGCAGAATCGCTGGTGGACCTAAGCACTATGCTCGATGACCTCAATAGTGCCTCCCAACGGATAGGTTTTAAGATGAACATAGACAAAACAAAGATCATGTATAACGTAGTTGTTGGAACCATTAGCCTTGAAATTGTTGACGAGTGTATTTACCTGGGACAAATAGTCCGACTAGGTAAGTCCAACTTCGACTGAGAGGTCAATCGACGGATTCCACTCGCCTGGGCAGCGTTCGGGAAATTACGACACAACTTCTCGTCAGGTATACCTCAAAACTTGAAAACGAGACTACAACCAGTGCGTGTTGTCAGTGATGACATATGGAACTGAAACGTGGTCCTTCACTGCTGGCCGGATGAGAAAGCTCAAGGTCGATCAGCGAGCTATGGAGAGGGCTATGCTCAGAGTTTCTCTGCGTGATGAACTTAGAAATGAGGATATCCGCAGTAGAACCAGAGTGACCGACATAGCCCAACGGATTAGTAAGCTGAGGTGGCAATGGGCCGGTCATATAGCTCGAAGAACCGACAACCGATGGGGAAAAAAGGTTCTCGAGTGGCGGTCTCGTACCGGCGGACGAAGTGTGGGGCGTCCCCCAACTAGATGGAGTGACGACCTGGTAAGGCATGCAGGAAGTTGAAGTTGATTGTGCTTTATGACATGCCCTATGTTCAGCTGTGGACTTGTGAAAGGCTGTAATGATGATCATGATGAAATATTATGTTTTAAAAACTAATAAAAAGTCAAAAATTTACGCGTTTGTGTATTGTATCTATACTCGTATACGGTGTAACATGAGGGGTGGATCATCGGTGGCTAGGGGTGGAGGACCTCAATACCTATCGATTTAACCCCCATATAGGTAATGCAATATTCAGTAGTTCAAAAGTTAATTGGACCTTAGTAAACATTTTGTGAAATTCCATTTTAGCCTAAACTTCGCAATTGCAGCCAAACTATCAGGTCTGCGACTGTAATTTTTTTTTTCAAACAAGATAAACAGAGGGTCCTTTGTACTTTTACATCAAACAGAGGTTTAAATTTATAAAAATCTAAATAAAAAAAATTATAGTATTATTTTTTTTTTCAAAATCTAATGTTTGCATTAACGTTTCTATGGTTCTAAAACAAATATTTCACATATTATGATTATTTTCTATAAGCTATCCTAAAAACTATTGGTTTTCGTGAAGAATTAACCCTGACAATTGTATTCGGCTATTGCTGGGGTATCATGTTGAAAAATGTACATAAATAGTCCATGTGCCAATAATCGACAATTTTTTCCTTAATTTAAAGTCTACTAAAAACGTAAATAAGTTTATTTTGTTAAGAGTACGCTACGCTAGTAAGTAGAATAACGAGATTACTATACGAAAGGATAGAAATAAGTCCAATAAAACACACGAATATGTACTGTTAAAATATTATTTATTGTTTTTGACACGTTTATTTAAAGCAAATGTTCAAAATGAGCTCCATTATTGACGATACAGAGCCTGCATCTTTTTATAAAACTTCTTTGGAGTCTGCGGAATGATTCTTCTTTTTCCCTAATTTTCATTTGGGGCCGAAGTATGCGTCGCCGTTTAATCTGGCTGGTAGATTGAACGGTCAGATTAGCTGTTTGTTGAATACTCCTGTCCATTAATTAACACTAAACTGGTGTTGAAAATTGTGGCGGTGAATCGCAGGTGGATTTTCAAAACTCCAGGAGTGGTCATTATGTATATTAAATATTCCACTCTGGCTAAAGGTTGACCCATTTGTCCACATTATGTTGCCAAAAAAGTTTTGTGCACAGACAGACATGTGAGATAGGCCTGTGCAACGGCCAATTGCTCTCGTACTTGTTGATTAATCTCTTTGTACTTCTACCAAAATTTGTTCGATTTGATCTGGGTAAATTCTTGGAACTCCTCAGGCGTTTCCTCGGGCTGCGCCGTAACAATAGTACATTTCTGCATAGTCGCGTGGAGAATAAGGCATGATGGACAGAATTCACGCAGGTCTACTTATTATTAATAATCGTTCAATAAACGTGCAGTCTTCGTTCCGAGGTAACAACAATCCAAATCACATAGAGAGTATCAAAGTCCAATAATCATGTAGTTTTCGTTCCGAGGTAACAACAATCTTAATCACATAAACAGTATCAAAGTCCAATAAACAAGCCGAATTCAGAGGATGAAGTTAAAACACGGGTTAGAAACGTAGCACAGGTAAGAGCAGAGGGGCAGACGATAAACGGCTAAAGAAGGAACTCACAATAGTCATACCCCTTACTCAAAAACTAACAAGTCCTTCTGAGAAAAGAATCGCCATAAAAATACCAAACTACCTAAACAGCCAACCACAGCAGTGGCAGAGCGAGAAATAATTTTTTTTCTAGCTTTCCTCTTCTTAACTTAATTCAGATGTTACATGATGAGAAGCGCAACATTAGATATTGAAAAAAAAATTATACTATAATTTTTTTATTTGGATTTTTATAAATCTAAGCCCTCTGTTTATATTGTTTGGAAAAAAATCACGGTCGCAAACCTAATCGTTTGGCTGCAATTGCGAAGTTTAGGCCAAAGTCCAGATTTTAATAAAGTCCAGATAAGTTTTGAACCACTGAATATTGCATTACCTATATGGGAGTTAAATCGATAGGTATTGAGGTCCTCCACCCCCAGCCACCGATGATCCACCCCTCATGTTACACCGTGTATATTTTTATAAAGATTTTTTTACGTCAGTTTTGTGGAATATTAATTTTTAATTTAGTATTAATTATATATTTTTGTGATGCCGCAAATAAAATATTATTTTTCATGAATAAGATGTATCATAATCTGATTTCACAGAAATTTTTGAAGGATATTTTTAATTATTATCGAATATCTATCTTTACAATGTAAGAACATTTATGTTTCAAAGAACGTGATTTCATTTTTTATTTGACATTCGAGACATTCAAGTATAATAAAATTCAATATACTCTAGAAGTAAGGGTGGCAAACGGGAACACAGTTTACCTGATGGTAAATGAAAGCTGTGGCCCATAGACACCTACATCTATCCTCGATTAAGAATCAAAATGTAGATGCGTTGTAAATCTGAGATGGAATGCCTCGTTACAACACACCACTCTATTGTGCTGCTAGATCTAGGGGACTTCCCCGGTCGTACTCTGCCACGTAAATATAATTTTTTTTTAAGTTTCCTTACAAACACAATTTATAATTTGACCCATTAACTATGTGTCATTTTCATTTGTGATTTCGGTCAGTAATGTGTATTTGGTGTAACACCTTGGGTTTGTTGTTTGTTGCTTTCTATAACGCTTTTTATCTCTGTAACAAAGCATGCGTTGGTGGAGTCTCCTTAACAAGATCATACAATATACCATAATAATTATTCCTTAAATTCCTTTTGGACAATAATAATATATTTTTATTCCACGTCTTAACTTCGGAAGTGAGTTCGAAGCGTATAATCATGAAGATCTCATTTAATATATAAAAATTGCGTTAAAACATCCCTTTAAGTGTTTTTTTAAACGCTTTTCATACCGCATTCGACTCCGCTAAACGTCCGCACCAAGGGTTCCCCGCTAAAGAAACCTCACTGTAATTATTCAAAGATCCGCTTTAGAAGAGGCTCTAAACATTCGGTTTTAATTGGAGAGCGACATCTCAATTATAACACACGACATGTTAACCTTTGAACTCTTGATTGCTATCTTGCGGGCTGCTTTTTTCGTGTTGTTTGAACCGCGGTTTTTTTTTTTTCATTTCTGTTTAATTTACCGTTTATTTATTTCGATTTTACTGCCACACAAACGTATGAAGATCATTCCTAAATTAAGAGATTTTTTTAAAAAGTAGGCTGAAATCCCTGATGTTTCGTTATTAACGTTGAGATTTTAACACGACTTTTACGTGTGCGCCTAAAGAATCTGCAAGATATTTATAGAAATGCAAATGGACAATGTTTGCCTTTTAGACACAGAAAAGATCCAAAACAAAAACTGTCAATGCAGAAGCCCTCATTAAAATCTTCCGTGTCTTTGATTTTGTCTAGCAACGGTCAGGTACGCGTTTGTACGCCATGACGCCGTAAAGAGAGTAAAAGTTGCCCGTGTAGACAGACGTCCTTTGATAAAGGAAAAAGAACTTGGGACGAACCATTTCTAGTCAAATTTAAAGGGCGGAATTTCCTTTGAATTTGTTCAAAAATTAAATAAGACAATTTATTAGAGTAAGAAAAATTGTTTATATTAAGATAATATTATTGTTAGATTCTTAAAATAGTCCATTTAATACTTGACTAAACTATCCAATAACATGGCATGGTATACATTAATACTAATGAGGTGGTGTAGAACATTGCACTAATTTATGAATTAAAATAATTCAAATTTCCGCAAAAAAAATTTAATTAATATGATAATATTAATAATGAGATTTATATTGAAAGTACCTATTGTAATACCGATAAATTAATTATAGCAGGCTACATCGAATTGAAATTACAACGAATTTTTTTTATTAAATACTAGGTATAATTTTTTTTTAATTAAAATCTAGGTTACGACTCGTTGGAAACAGAGCCAATTTTACTTCTTAAGTCAAATTAGACAAACAAGGCGTATTTAAAAAAAAAGATAAATAATATAAATCAATTTCTCTTCCGTGGAAAGTTATGTCGTCATAATATTTTACGCGTATGTATGGTTTTGGTGGCGGTAATGTTAGATTTTTTACTAACTCCCAAAGTATATTATAGTTAACATTATATTTTTTATTTATTTTATTTTGTTGATTTATGTGTTTTACAGGAAAGCTCCAGAGACCCAGAAAAATACTAACAAAAGTGAAAGCTTATTTCCATCTTCATCTTCTCTAACAAAAAATGCTCCTCAAAGTTTTGTAAAAAAGCTCGCTTCGAAATGCTTGGGCCTAAAAGCGAAGTTCAATTCCGCTCCTAATATTTCTAACAGTTCGGGATTAGAGTCGGAAAGTGATGTTAAATTAAAACATTCGGACAGTAAAAATGCTGTCAACACTTTGCTTATTGGTAATAGTAAATTTTTTAAGATACTGTCGAAGAAAGAGGAGTCTGGAGAAATAGTTTGTAATGACGAATTCGATACAATTTCATTAGATAGGCTAGGGACATTAAATAGAGATTCTTCGGTGAACAGAAGCAACCGAAGTTGTCCTGGGTTTAAAACATCTTTGCCAAACATATCTGAAAACAACGAACTTAGTGATTCTCACGAATCTATAGTTGAGTCTACTGATGACACACTTACCGCTTGTGACAAAAGCGATTGTAACATGTCACAACTGACCGAAGCTGTTAATTATGATGCAAAGCTGAATATATTTGAACCTAGAGAAAAAGCTAATCGAAAATCATTAATTTCTACAGCTTCATTAGAATCAGCTACGTTGATTAATGAATGTTACGAGTCTTATCATTTTGTGTCAAACAATTCCGATATATATATTGAACCACACAAATCTTTAGAAGAGATTGTAGAAATACCTAAACCAATTCCTCGGTCGACTACCGTGACAAATCCAACTGATAATAGTGTTACAGTCTATGAGAATGTTATTTTAGAAAATAAATTGTCCCGTCCAACTCCCGCCGTTCGAACTCATATTCCTCCAAAAATGGCTCATGATGATTCACTGCAAAAACCTGTGTATGAAAACATATCCTTAACAAGAGAAAGAAAACTGCCCGAGATGCCAAATAGAAACATAATACTTGCAGAAAATAGATCAAATAATTCATCTACAAATATAAGTAGATCTTCAACGTTGTCTACTGATTCCATGGTCGATGAATCTAATTTAGAAGACATATTCTTGTCAACAAAGTCCAAGTCCTTTCGTCACACAAAAATGCCGGTCGAGTACAGTACTAATAAATCAACCATCCATAGGACTTTGTCAGATGCTTCAGATGTATCTGATCAAACAGAAGCCAGCGCATTAGAAAATGTTGACTGTAGTGAGGACGTTGACGAAAAAAATATTTATTTGTCAATGACTGGTACATTACCCAATAAGAAAAATGAACGAATTGGAGACAAAAAAGTACTCTTTAGACATAAAACTTTTACTAACATTGAAATGGATAGAAATTCAATAAACATCAGAGATTTGCCCAAATGGAATAGCTCGTTCCTTAAAGAAACGCTTGCACATTACCACATTAGAGGTACAGGGCATTGTGTATATAAAGCCCCAACAGTTAAAGAATTTATTTATATTTTTAATAGAGATACTCTTTATAAAGACGTTGAACCATTTACGAAGGTACCTAATGATAAGAGATACAGTTACTATGAAACCGCAATATGTTTCTGTAAGCCTAAACCCCCAAAACATCACGCTAGTGCCGAAGATTTATTGGAAATCAATCAGGTTGAAAAAGAGAAAGTAACAATAGATATGGATGCTTTTAAAAACAAAATAGAATTGGGATCTTCCTCATTTCGTTGCTTTTGCGACAGTAAAACTTGCATTTTGCACGACGATCGACGCCAAAACAAAGCTGATATCGTTATAAAGTTTTCCGTTATAAAAAGAAGTATTTCTACCCCAGATATCACGCTTGAGGCTTCTCCTTCTTCGACAGTACAAAAAACACGTTTGTCCAAAATTAAATCAGTTCCGTCCAATTTAGAAGAACCCTACGCCGTAGTTAACATTGAACATATCGCCGCGAAGGATAGCAATAATTTAAACAATGAAAGTAAAACATTGGATAGTCCTACTTACGTTACTATGTCTCCTCACTCATCGATGTCGTCATCTTATGACCGTTATTCTGTAAAAGATATTGCCGAGGTTATTTCATTAGGTAGTCGCACAACATCAGCCGACACTAACCCATCGTGTGCTTCTGATACTATGCATTTGATGCTGCGTCAATCGAGCTCATCGGAACACTCTGGTCACTGGTCATTGCAATCGTGCAATTCTAATGTCACTATAAAATCGGACGCATCTTTCAAAACATGCCTCGAAGAGTCTTCTGAGGAAGACTCAGATAGCAATTCGCTTTCGGACGAAGAAACCTCAGACGCTGAAACTGTTAAATCTGACATAAGCACGACGAAGCGACCGTGGGTCCATAGTGACTCTTTCAGATTTGGAAGTAGAGATTCTAAGTTTGAAATCGAGATGATTTCGGAGGATAGCGAGGGTAATTTGAAGGAGTCGAAATGCGAGAGTGGTATCAGTGTAGAAAGTTCTGAGAGTTCATCGTCCGGTTGCGAGGATGACAGTGGTGTTCCGAGGGTCGATACGGATGTGTCGCTTGACTGTGCTTCGCTTGAGCGGGAAAGGGGGGTGGTCGCGGATGTTTGCAGCGGGTCGGGGCGACGACGGTGGGACGAGACAGAAGGAACTAGCGAAGGGGACGCACTCAGCGTCTCTAGCGCTGCTTCCAGCTGTGCGCCCTTGCACCTGGCACATCAACACGAGTACAGCAAGGTTTCGGTGAGTGAAAAACAAACTATCTTTTAGCTGTAAATTTTATTTTTCTTTTGATTTTTTTTTTCTAATGCACTCATTGTTGGTCGGATTTTTATCATTATTCGAAATACAGGAATGGATTCTTAATTCAATAAATTTGTCGTGTTAATCTGTTATTATTATATATAATAAGTTTTTCCTATTGTGTTATAGTTAAGAGATTTACTGATTTGCATTAAAGGCATTTTTCTGAGTGATTTTGTAAATAAGATTAGAAAGAAGTAGGGTCCTAGGGTAACTTTTTAAATTTATAGTAGTTATGAGTTTGAACGTTCATAGATACGCATATTGAGAATTAGTTCAGTGCATAATTTGCTAACGATAATAGTTAAACGTCTTCAAAGAAAACACCTAATAAATTGTATTTCATTTGGTTTTCATTTTAGTTCACATGTTATCATATGATAACATAGGTGGATTCTTGTTGTAATACTACCTTAAGATACAAAATTTTGACAAAACAAATGTTCCAACCATTCATATCTTTACGAAAACACATTTTATAAAAATAATCAGGCGTTACTTTGCGGAAATCCATTATATTAAATATCTTAAAAATTAATTTGCGAAGATCTGCATAGTAAAATGAAATGATGTGACTTACCCAGTTAGAAGAGCACTGCCCTCCCTCAATTGCGTGCACTATCCCCGTCACCACTAATCCCAGCACGACTACACTAGGAAAGACACACCACCGTCGATAATACGACGCGTGTTTCAAACTCTTCTAACTAGGTAAGATACATAATTTTATTTTATTTCGCGGATCTTAGCAAATACATTTTTAACATCTTTAATTAATGTCATGGGCTGGTTTTCGCTACCCTTAGATATGTAACGTTTTTTGTGAGTTGGTGGGTATTCTCGTTATTCAAGCCATCTTTACTTTTCGAGAATTATTGGAAGTAAAGACTAGAAATGAGATGGGGGGTGACTCGAACCTTAGACCTAGTCATTTTGAATAGCCTATCATGTAGAGGATGTCATGGGGGTCATGGTTGAATAGGGGAAAAAAGTTCTCATTACACTCCTAGGGGGTCAAAATTGCCAAAAACCAAAAAAATGAGGGGGGGGGGGGTGGCTCGAACTTTAGACATACTCAGTTTGAATAGCCTATCATATAGAGGATGTCATGGGGGTCATGGTTGAATTGGGACAAAAAGTTCTCATTACACTTTTAGGGGGTGGAAATGGCCAAAAACCAAGAAATTTAAAATTCTTATTTCGGCTATAATTCCACCTCCTTTGGAGGTCTTACACAGTCTTTACTTCCCGCATCTCACTTGTTAATCGACAAAGATATTGAGTTTTCAACACTATATTTTTAAGGCATAATTTGAAAACTAATCCGTTATATTCAGCGATTGTAGTGCTCCTTCTTAATAGCCAATTTAATTCATCAATCAAGTAAATGTGTGAGTTGTCTGTCATGTGTGACGTACATACAACATACCGTAACAATGTGTTTGAAAATAAAAATGATTGAGCGCTTCGTCGTGAGAAAAGCTATAAACATTCCCGCCTTAATTCTTCCCACATGCTTCCTTTGCTTGTTTCTAACAAGTGTACTTACGTTTCCAAGTTTCACTGCGGGCATTCATCAATCCAAACATTAATTTCTTCTCTGACTCCTACTTATTTTATGTAAGTAAATCCTATAAAATAAAATAATTCGTTAGTTAATAAAATATTAATCTGTAGCCCACTGCCATATCAACCTACTGCTGTACATAGGCCTCAGGCATAGATTTTTATCGAGAGGATTTTGCCATAGTTGCCACGCCTGGCTCTCGGGTTGGCAACCGCATTTTTTATTATTTTGGGTTGTTATCATAAGAAAGATGCTGCTGCCCATCTTCAGTTTTAATTTCTCTCTGTTGCCTCTTACAACACCCACGGGACGTCCCACTGCTGGGTACAGGCCTCCTCTCATTTCTGAGAACGTATTAGGCAAGGAATTGTCTTGGAAATATTTTTTTTAATTTCTCAGACATGCCGGTTTCCTCTCGACGTTTTCTTTCACAGCCGAGCACGTGGTAAATCAGCACTTAAAATTGCAATTAACAATTTCATTCGTGCCGACGAGGATTGAACCCGAGTTGCTCAAGTACTGTGAAATATGCAGCGAGTGCTAACCAATATAAGGATTAAGTGTTCGTTACGTTGAAATATACGATATATAAACCTATTTAATACTTACTTATCTTCACGCACAATCCCTGACGGGGTAGCCAGAGAGAACAGATCGCCAAGTGTCACGATCCTTACATACCTCTTTCGGTTCTTTCAGATTCATTATCTTCTTCATACATGCACGTCTAGGTATCCGAGTACTCTTGACCCTACCCTCTTCGAGCAATTTGCTCACATGGTCTTCGAAAGTTCGTCTCGGTCTACCTCGACACCTTTTAATATTAACTTTCGCGCTATATATTTTCTTCACCATTCGGTCTTCGCTAATTCGCTCAATGTGCCCAAACCACCGAAGCACGCCCTTATCAATTTTTGTGATAAGGTCATCTTTCAAACCTGCCATATTGCGAATCTCTTCGTTTCGCTTTCGGTCGGCCATGGTAACGCCGCACATTTTACGAAGAGATCGCATCTCCACTGCATTCAACTTCCTTTTATGCTTCTTCTGGCATACCCAGGTTTCGCTGCCATATAACAAAGTCGGTACCAACACTGCGTTATGTATTGCAAGGCGTGCACTCTTCACTACGCCTTGCCTTTTGACTAACGCAGTCAGGGCACCATTGACTTTGTTCCCGGCAGCGACACGCCTGTCCACATCTAAATCACATCTTCCATCCCGGCTAAAAGCACTCCCCAAGTATACAATTTCATTTACTTGTTCTAGACATTCCTGATTTACCCATATTTCACACTTCGTTCTCTCTTCGTCCCTTTCAAATTTAATTATTATCGTATATGGGACTATATCGTTTTTTGGTGAAACTATTGTCATATTCTATCGGCAAATAATTTATTTAATCTGTGAACTAACTTCGGAGCTATCCACAGTATCATCAGTCATTCAAATAACACAGTGGAATTGACATCATACTTTGTTAAGTCTCTTAAAATCAATATTTTATTAACTCCACTTTTCTAGTTAGTGAATTTCATCAGAGTATTAACAACACTATCTAGCAATATTAATAATTAATCATAGATAATATACAACATAGGTCATTAATAATGTCAATTTTTACAATGAAACGAATATACATAATATTATTATATAATTATTACTATTTTGTATACTATATATTTGTATATATAACGGATCAGTCAGTTGAAGTGGTAATGGGCCGGTTATATTGCTCGAAGAACCGGAAATCAAGTTCTCGAGTGACAGCTTTTAAGCGAAGCGTATGCTTCCACTAGATGGATTGACGACTTGGGAAGATATGCAGGTGGCTAAGGACCGTGATTTGTGGCATTCCTTTAGGGAGGCCTATGTTATGGGCAGCATTGGAGTTGTAATGGACTTATGTGTTGATTCATAATCAAATCAATCTTGTCGTCATGTAAATTTAGGCAGACGAATTGGCTTATATATATGGCGTTATAATTAAGTAAGTAAAACCTCAACGATTCTATTATTATAATGGATGCGATCATCGCGTTTAAATTCCAATACTTAATCGGATCCCATATGGCGAGAAGTCGTCCGCGGCGTCGAAAAGTCGGTCAGTCGCTCCGTCGCGTACGCAACCAATGCTTGCGTCGTACAATGGAATTGTATGTTTAGTCGTTTAGGACCCAGTTTTTAGGGATCTATGACTGAAACTTGATTTGTTCCCGGTCTTTCTTTTGTGTTTGAGTGTCTGTGTTTGTGATTATTAGTGATTTGTGAAACTGGGAATAAATATTTATTAATGTAAGTTTTACATCCATAAAATTCAACCCGTTTTATAAAGTAGTAAAAAAAGAAATACAGTATTTTAAGTAAATAATTTCAGTACAAAATAAAACGATAATCTCAAGAGGTTTTGTATAGTCTTTAATATTATTAGGTGGGCGTTTTGCGACTGATAACAGATTATATATTATTTTATAATATCGTCGTATCCTAATATTACAGTACATTAGGTATATCTATTTTTTTCTATAAACCTTTTTGATATATTTGTAATACATCGCCGTCGTTCTTATACCGTATTTTTCTTTGCAATTATTAATTTTAATTGCAATGTAGTTGTAAATTAAAAGGCTTTAGACAAAAGGTATTGCACTGCCTTTTGAGCACCTACTTTAAATTTTAAATATTGTTGTTATCATCAAGTAGAAAGAACAAATTAATAAAGATTTACTCCTTAGGGATTTTCTTCAAAATTATAAAAATCTTACAAATCTGAATCGTTCACTTACTCTCAGTACTGTAAACAATCGCCAGGTGTTGAACTGAAAATAGAAATATACGTGTCAAGGACTCGATGATCTAATTTGTGATGTTTTGTTGTATGTGGCTTAACCCATGGGGAACGTAAACATTTTATCATGATAGTCATGAGCGCTGTATATAGCATGTGTTACACGCTACTCTGCTGTATTAAATTTTGTTTTCTTTATAAAATATATGTAAGTGTATAGATTTAAAGAACCACTTTTAATACGTAAACACTGGGAGGTTATACTTTTTCTTTGAGTTAATATCTCCATCATATCCACAAATTTTTCGCATTTTGCTAACACGACCTTTAGGACATCTTCTTTGTTTGAAGTTACCAAGACGGCTCCCACGACCGGTATACAGTTTTGTAACGCGAGGAGATTCCGGGTAATGGGACCTGCGGTGCAATGATGCACTCGCAGCCGACAAAGAATTTGCAATTCGTTCTTACGAATTGCAACAATCTCATAGGCGTACGTTGCTTGGGATTAGCAGTGGTCTCATTCAACTGCCTGTACGACATACTCTGCTGAAGGTTTAGTCGGCTCCGTGAGGCATCGTGGTC